GGCCATTTTGATAAAGGTCTGAAAATGCTCAGGGAATGACTTTGATAGTGCCAACAGTCCAGAATCTTCCACACTGGCACTGGCAGGGCAACTTCAAACCCTCTCCACTGTATATTGCACACAGCTAACATGGGAATCCCCAAAACCATGTTTGAAGCACCTTGCTGTAGCACATCCAACTGTGAAGCAGCATGCTGAAAACAAAGCAGTATCTACGCTTATTCGTAACCAGGAGTATTGCACATTCTTCGGAAAGCACACATCATCCTTTGTACTCGGGAAGAGTCGCGATACACCCTGGTTTACCCAAAGGGCCTTAGCAGAAGCTGCAGAGTTCGAAACTTACTTGTGATGACAAATGTAGAGATTTCTCAATAGGTATTTTAATTTGGGATCCCGCAACGAATTACCACACCCCACTCCTGCAAACACAATCTTAGATGTGGCAAATATTTGGGAATGTATGGAAATCCAGATGTTCTGTCATAGTACTGGAAAAGATCACTACAGACTATGTTCAGTAGATATCAATTATGATCTTTCACATACATTTTTAGAGAAATGCTGTAATTAAAAAAAAAAATTGATTTGATTCTAATAGTAAGTGACATTTTAGTTCAGTCACAATTACAATCAACCAGACTTACTCTTCGCATTAGTAGCAGGATATGATCCTTAAGTTCATACAGGGTTAAGTTTGTCATCCTCAGAGATTTCTTAATGACCCTTGCTATCTAAACCCTGATTCAGAATGGTGGCAGTGTATTACATTTTCAATGCACATCCTCAGACTTATTAGGACACGAAGCGAACCTGACAGGGAAAAGAATATCTCCTTTCTCCTCTGAAATGCCCCAGGAGGGTTTTCTGCAGGTGACCTCCTCAGACCTTGGCTCTACATTAGAGTTATTGTCCTGAGAAAAGATTCAGTTAAAACACCCAATTCATTTCATATAGTGCTCTTGAGTTTATTCTTGGTGGCAGCTAACTTGTAAAATTTTATTATGGATTCTTCTTCAGTTTGCTTGATGGAAAATAATTATTCTATCATCAGATCTAAATGATATACTTTGGTGGACCACACAATTTTCTTTCCATTACTATTTTCAAATAAAATATTAATTTTTGCTTAAAAAGAAGTTCAAAATATCTTTCCTAACATGATATTATCAATAAATTAATTTAGACTTCACACTTTTAAATGGCTGTGTTCAGACAGGTCTGATATCCTAAAATCAGCCTTCTGAATATAACCTGTTGACAATAATAATAATAATAATGATGATGATAATAATAATAATAATGGTGTAGCAGCATGCTGGTGTCTCTTACAAGAGCAGAGCTCACTGTTGTAGGCAATACACAAATGCTTGGTAGGTGTTTATCTATGCTTGAAACTGCTTATAACATTATCAGACAGAAACACATAGTGCAGAAGAGTCCTAACCGACTAAGTGAAGTTGAAGCACAGAAAAATATTCAACTTCTGCACAAAAAAAACCAAGCTATCTCTAAACCAGCAGATGTGTCTCCCCAGCCTTGCACGACACCAGCTTGCACCCCAGAAGGAGCAGGGACCTGCAGGTGCAGCAATGTCCCTGCTTTACTAGCTCTGCTTTCTGATGAGGCTGATGCAGCCGCGCTGCTTCCAGAGCCAGCCCATCCAGAAGTAACTCAGGTATCTCTGCACTTAAGAACAGAGGGTAAGTGTACCCCACATAACTCAGAGGGTTTGAGAAGGGCTATGCTGCCACCTAGAACCAAGACTCCTAAATCCCAGCTGAGAAGAGCAGCTCTAAGTCTGTTCAGGTGTGGGACTTCTTAGTCGGTGGAATTTTCTTGACAGTAGCCCTGACATTTACTTGGGGAAAAATGTCAGTGACAGCAGGGCTAAGCCCATGCAATTTATTTACATGTATGTTTTCAGATGATTGTAGAGCATACCTGACCTTGAAATATATTGCTCTAAATGGACTTTGGCAGGGAGGAATTCTTATACTACAATAAAATTTTCAATGCTGTGACCCTACCCTGGTTTCATGACATCACCCTTATGCCTGCTCTGGAGTGACAACCCACCAGCTGAGGCAAGAAGCTAAAGCCACACTCTCTGTTTCCTGAACACTGCATGTTCACCAAGATAAGCGGACAATGAAAGTACCTGAAACCTTTTAAAACTTCACCAGAATTAGAGAAAAGAACCTAACCATTTGCAAACTGCAGCAGGTGCAGTCCCTCAGAACCAAAGGTGTTTTCAGAAATGGACAAGTGAGTTGGATCGGTCCATTTTCTGGTAAAATAGAGCATTTCAGGTGTTATGTGCTCTTTCTTGTTCATACAGACACAGTCATTAAAAGTCTGACACACATTCAGAAACAATGGAAAATTCCCACTGATTTGACTAGGCTTCAGGTAAAGATGGTCTGTGCTTACAGGAGGTTGAGCCCAAAATATTTGTATCAAGACTTTTATTTTTTAAATCCCTGGGCAACAGACATCTAAATTGAGGTTCACCTCTTACCCCACAGATTTGCTGTTTCTAGTAGAAATTTCTCTTGAAAAAGAATCTGCCACTACTGAAAAATTCACAGATACTTTGTAGAGCCATTATTCATATATTTGTAATATATCAAGTGAAAAATCCAAGCCACTAGAAATATTATGCAGTTTCTTCAGTGCACTGTACAGTCAGATTGCTCTGATGAGATGGCAGATGCAGCCTAGGAAATTAAAGTGAAGCTAGTACTGCGGATTTGTGTTTAGAATTTGGTTGAATGCACAAGGAACATTTGAAGCAGCTTTGTGCAAAGCCCATTCACAGGGATGAATCTTGTTTTGTAGCAAATATCATGGTGGGGTTAAAGTCTGTTGAAAAAATCCAGGTCTCTTGGAGGAAAATGTACAGAACGTGATTTTACTTAAGGCTTATTAGAAAGTCCTAGGAAATTATTCAGTGTTTTTTTTTCATGCTTGCATATACACTTGAACGTTAATTTGGAGGCATGCAGAATTATATGATCCCATGGAAATTAACATGGTAATGAATATTAACATGATAATTAATAATACACTTAAATGTGTGTCATGCAGCTGAGTGAGCCAAGAATGAACCAAACGTATTGTACCAACTAACCCCCCACAGTTACAAGACAGAAATGAACAGCATTTTGTAATTATACACAGTGACATATTTTCTCATATCTACTGCCAAAAAAAATATCACTTTTTGGAATTAAAAGAGAGAGCAGCAAATAGAAACAGCTATGTCATCAGTAATTGCAAACATGTTTTCAGCTCCAGCTTCTGATAACTATCCAAAGACGTTCTTTTAATTGGTAAAATTGACAACTGTCCAAAAGTAAAGGAGTCTTTAGGGGCCATGTTCACTCCTAACAAGGCAGATAAAGAAATCAGAGTGCCAGAGGAGTACCTAGAAAGTTTTGCAAGGAGATGGGAATTAACAAATAAGCAGAACAACCAAAAAGTAAATGGTCTGCTTTTAAAGGGGCTTTTTAGATATTACAATGTTCTATTAACTTTGTCCCATGGGGTCTGATCAAGTTGTGCATGAGAGATGGACAACAGATTGACTTATTGTATTTAAAATATAACTACCTCTCCCAGGAAAACTAAAAGGACTGCTTAAGACAAGTTTTCTTAACACAGAAGCTCTCTAGCCTGTGATAAAACAAGCTGGTGAAATCCAAAACAACTTTGCAGTTGATAGAGTCAGAAAACTTGGTTCCAGAGCTCTACAACTAAATGATGCTTTTGTAGGGCATTATTCTTGGATGCAGGCAAGACCTCAGTCTGAGACGTTTTCTCATGTTCCTCAGTGGTAGTGGGAGAAGCTGATGATCCAATACACAAATCCCTACCCCACTCACAGGTAAAGTGGCTTGTGTAAATGAGGTCTATAAAATGATCCAAAGGCAGGCAGAGGGAAACTCTGCCAGATCTCCTCTCCAGCCAAAAAGATGTTTCACCAGCCTGATCATGTTTGAACATTAATCCTTACTTAACAAGGATTATTGCTTGATAACATCACAGGCAAGCAGGAAAGTAAGATCCCTACTCTAAAGTTTCTTATCTAAAGAAATTCTGTCTTTCAAGTATCATACTGTACCCACGTTAAACGATGAAGCCAGAAGAAGCCCACAGATTCTGGTCCTCATGGACAGAAAAGGAAATAGGACACTGAATGCTTCTAATATTCTGAGTCTATAGAATCCAGAATCCCAAAATATCTGCAGGTCATAGATGACACACAGGTAATGAAAAAAAAATTCAGTGATAATAGCTTTAGCTCAAATTCCATCTGGGGCTGACCTAGGAGAATTCTCAGCAAGAGAAATGTCTCCTTATTCACCCGGCTGTAAAACCAGGAACTAAAAGTCTATATGAGCTACAAATCTCTGTCCATTTACCAAACACGTATATTCCATACATCCCATATCAGTATTTTGTCATTTGCTACTGATGGTTGTGGGAGAAGTTGCAAGTGACTTTATATGTCCTGACCTTCATGTTCAAAGACATCTTCATATTCTAGCTCCCTTGAAATCAGCATTTCTCCCTATGATTAGCTGTCTCCTGTCTACTAGTAAACTACTAAAAATACCATATTCACAGAATGATTAATAAAGCTTGTTGGGGACTAAGAGTTGCCATGGAGATAGCTTTGTGTACATCTTAAAGTATGCGTAAATATGTATTTGGACAGTAAAAGCATGTATAATTTTTCCCAAACACCACAACTCTTTCCAAACCGCATAGTTTGATGGCATAATACACATTTAAAGATTTTTTAATAGTCTGTTTTATTTATAGTTATTTACTCAATACAGTACATCAAGCCTTCAAAACCTTTGTGGGCTATGTGTGAAGTAAGTAGGCATTCACCCAGTTTTTTAAAAACGTGTCATTTGCACAGTGGATCGATCTGTAGAGGACATTACAATCAGACACTGCACTCAGAAAAAATAAGACTTGAATATTACCTAGGGACAGTTACCGTGATACTTCTACATCCACAGGGGTCAATTCTGCTTTCAGGATGCCAGTGTAAATCCAAAACGTGTCCGTTAAACCAATGCTCTTGCACCATTTTTTTCTTCTTGGTAAGCAGCAGCCTAATTCAATTCTTTCTGAAACACATGGAAAGTTACAGAGCAGGCAGAGCCCACTGTTAGTAAGATTCCCAATAGTTCAGTTTAAAATACAGTATGAACAAATATTTAGTAAAGACTCTCAGAAAATCCTGTTCCTCTCTATTTTAGCTGGCCTCTTCCAGGTAAAACTTGCACTGAAATCTCCTTTCTCAAGTTTTACAATGTGCTCAATTCAAACATGGTAATACATGCTGGTGAAGAAAGAAACCAATGAGTAGCACAGTGCAAGTTCTTCAAGCATAAATTATTCTGAGACATGCTTCCCATTGAGTATATCAGTCACAAAAATCTGGTTTCTATTTCAGTACTGTCACTATTCTGTTGGTAGTATCCTGGTCATCTCTTAATATCACACCCCAGTTTTCACCTTCTGCAAAATTCTCTGCAACTTGTTTTGAGATAAAACGGTGAAAAGAGTTCTCTAACAACTATCAGTGGTTACAAACGGTTTTGGTGTTGTTACTGTTGTTGAGGAAAGTTTCTTTAAATGTGCACGCTAGTCTTCTGTCTTGTGCAGAAACTACAATAGTATCCCAGATACTATTGCACCACCAAAAATCCTGGAAAATATTCAGAGCGCTTAAGAGATTTGCAGAGACTCAAACCTAAGAGTGTAAAGTGCATCAAACAATTTACCACAAGCCTATCTATATATCACAGATATCAAATTCAACTTTGAATGCGAGAAGGGAAAAAATGAGAGATATGAAATTCATATACTGTAATTAAATGGAAAACACATGCAAACTGTAGCAGAAAAATAATAGAAACATGAATCGTGTATATTGCATCTGTCTGTTATTATGGTAGGAGTGGCAATGATTAGTAGAAATAGGGTTGCAAAATGATTTCTTATATAATATCACTTCCTGTGCCCATAGGGTAACTGTAATAAAGACAACTCACCCTCAGGCAAGGGCAAAGGCAGAAAGCACAGTCCTTTCTGCTGGGAAAGAGAAGCACTCAATTGTGCAGAAGCCTTGCCAACCAAAGGAGGTGCTGACTTCTCATCCTTTGAAGGTACCAGCAACCAGTCTTGGAGCTGGCATACTTATTTCAGAGAAAGATATCACTGCCAGGGACCTACAGCCTAGATTATCCTAGTCAACAAGAATCTGCTTCAGAATCATCCGGCACAAGGGAGAAATGCTAAGAATGCTCTAAAAGACTTAGAATGTTGACTTTTGTGAACAGTACTATGCAAATTCAATGGAGCATAAATGTGAATTTTTACACATACACTGGGAACTTGCAATTACGCACACATATGAATGGCTCCGCTGAGCGCAGTGAGAAAATTCCCGTGCTCAGCATTATTTATGAGTGTTTGCCATGCCTTTTTATGTATCAAATTTAAAACACCGCAGTTAATGTACAGACATGGGTGTCTTTCAGGATCCTAGTACATGCATGACTTCAACAGGTAGCAGTCAGCCATGAATATATAATGGTGACGGGCTGTGCTTTTGCTTTAAGAGTTTAACCCTGAGGTCTTCCAGAAGCAGAATTTAACACATTGCCTAAGACCACAAGATAAACCAGTGGCAAGCATGAGCTGGCAATCTGGGTGGAGGATCTCCCCCCTCCACCCAAGCCTGACTCACTGCAGCTCCCTGCAGTAGAAATATGAAGGGGCAAGATCTTTGTTGGTGGTTGATGCAAGCAACCAGTTACTTCGGCTGCCTTTTGGAAGTGCTGGAATAGGCAACCTTAGTGGGGACATCTGAGGTTTGCAGCAGTGGAGTTCCACATTAGGTCTTCTGTCCAGCAGAAACTAGGGTGGGCTGCAGTAGATTTGACTGACTCTCTCTGTGCAGCTGTACTGACTCCCACACAGTGCAATGGAGAGGAAGCTAAAATGGCTTGTAACATCTCTGCTTCCTCCTGATTCCAAGAGCTGCGCTGCTCAGGTATGTCACTGCAATGCCCAGCTATCGGACACGCGTCCAGTCCTTGCATATATGCTGCTGTGAGCCCTGCTGCATTAACTGAACTAACATAAATCCTCCTGGATTCTTTATGCACTGTGCTGGTTTGGAAAAGGTGCAGGGAAGAGGGTATTTTTCTGCAAACAGAATTTTTCATAAGAGGTGTAGTCACCTCTTGCTATTACAAATACAAGAGCAATAACAATATATACAGGCCTGAACAGTAATTGAGATTCTGGCAGATATTTTTTCCCTGTCATAAGCACACTGGGCCTAAGGCAAGGTTTTCCTCTATTTAATAAAGAAAATGGAAAGGTAGGGAGAAAAATAAAATTAAAAAAACCTGCATCGCCTCTCAAATTACACAACCTGCTAAATATTTAGGGCATTCTTTCCCACAAACATTTCAAATGGATGAGAAAGAAGTTTGTCTTCTTGACAGTTCACATCCTCTTGTGGGCCAGACTCATTCCTCTGGAAGCTCACTGAAGTCAATGATATAGCAGCAGGGATGACAGATAAAGCTCACGATCCACATTTTAGTGGTACCTATCTACTGTTCATACAAATCAGCTCAAGATTAAGATGCAAGTGAAGACACAAAATGTTCAGGTTGAGGAGACAACTAAGACAGCAGAAACAGCTTAAAATCTGTGGCAAATGCGTGTGTTTAATTCCACTCTCAGTCTCTTAGCTAGAGAGGAAAGGCTTGAACGATGTAACAGTAACTAACATTGTTTTTCAGTACCTGCTTAAAGTGACATGCAGTCTTGCTGTTTGGATTGTTTTTCCCCCAGTTGTAGTGAATTGCTATCACATACTCTCATGGCATGGCTAGTTATCTTCACTGTAAAGAAAAAGGTTACAAGTGCTTATAGTTGGCTAGTAATAGGTCACCCTGCAAACAGCTCCCAGATTCACAAATCATCAGTCCAAAACAATTTTAACTTCCTTCAAAATACCAAGAAAACTTCTCTGGTCTTTTAAATTGGAAATAGCAAATCTGATTTCAGTAACAGGCCTTAACCAATCTGAGTTTATTAGCAACTGAATTAGAAGTTCATCTGAAGTCCAAATGAAAATCAGCGAACAGTCATTAGATCAAGAAGAAATGAAAGCTCAGAAGACAAGAAGCCATAGCTGTAATCATCCATCCCAAATTAACTTACCAGCTATCAAGCAAGTAACTGCTATGTTAAAAGCTTTTTCACGTTAGGCCACTTGTTCTTCATAATAATTAAAATACAATGCTTTAATAGAAGTGTTTCATTTATATTCTTATAGTCAAGCTGGCACTTAACTTGATTTGGGGCTGTTCTCAATTAAAAACTGTTTATGGTCTCCAAAATCCCTTCTTGGATGCTTCTGAGATTCTGCACCAGAAAGAGGAGGGGAAAACTGGCAAATCCTACTAGAGATGTGAGAACTCTGCTGCAGAGAAAAAAAAGGCAACAACCCCCCCCCCCGGAATCTGGATTCTGAACTCAACCAAAGCCAAGCTGCACTAAAATGTAAAAGTTTGGCCAACTTCCTAAATTCTAGTATCATGATTTTCATTTACAGTACTTATTTTGCAGCACCTATGAATTTCACATTGAGTAAAACACTATTTTTAAGACAAATTTTAAATTTGCAAAGTTTTCATCTGTCATTTCCCATTCCTATCTACCACACTGAACATCCCATGTGTGAGCTGGATCCCCAAGTCACACAGCTGCCCTTTGACAACCCTATCTCCGCTGACAGCACTTTCACAGACACGCCAGTACAGTGAGGATGAGCACGTTCCCTGTCATGCTGGCCTCCCGTCACCCAATTTGTGTCTGCAGCTGGAGGCCGCCTCGCTGTCTAACAACGTCGCTGAAGCACAGCAGCGTGCAGTACACACCCTCTTCCATCACCCTCCTCTGACTGCTTTGCAACAGGGAGAAGGTGAGGACATGACAAAGAAGCAGCAACTGTTCTTCCTTACTTCAAAAGACAATACCATGCCACTAATAATCCTTCACACTTAAATAACAGCCAGCTTTATAAACAGTAATTAAAGATGCCTTCTGGTGTACCTGCAAAGGAAACATTATTTTCGCTCTCCACAAGGACCACATTTTCTTTAGTGACTTTTGATTAAAGGAGCTAGTATTGAGCACAAAAGGCTTAATTTTCAGGGGGACAAGCAGCTACAGGTCACATTGTATAACCTTCTAACAGTGTCTCCTAACATCAGTTAAAGTTAAAATCTGATATTTTCAGCAGAAAACCTCACAATTTTTCACTTCAGAAACTTTCTGCATACCGCTAATCAGTAATTTTGAAAGAGGGTCAGGATTCATACAGCAAAGCATTGTAAAATCTGTTAAGCATTTTTACATATACATATAAAAAAACCCCCTTGCTTAATCCCCTGACATCTCATTGAGTAAACCTGCCAAGGATGAATTAAACCAGCATTCTGACATTCACTTTGTGGGTTGTTCATCTGCTTGTGCTTCTCATTTTTAATCTTCGAACTGGCCAAGGCTTTTAGCACTCACCATTTACCTTCTCCAAAAATTAAGCCTTGTCCAAGCACTAGCTGGAAGTGAAAACTGGTGACAGTTACAGCCCTACCCACTCAGAAAACCCAGTGCAACCTGGGTGAGCCCAGAGACGCCAAGTCACTGCTCTGTCTAATTACAAACCCGAGGCAGATTAACCTTTGATGACTAAATTAATCTTCTAAATAAAATGAATATGCATCAGCCTGCAAATTAGGATTAAATGCTTAGCAGAATCTTTATGTGATCAAGCAGGTTTTGTGGTGCAGATGTTAACCATTAACATGAAGCAATAAAATCGTTCTTTTTTCTTATAATAACACCTAACAATTCTAAAGCCACCTTTCATCTGAGAATCTCAAAGGGTTTCATAAACATAAGTAATTAACCCTCTCAGCATCCAAGACAAGAGCATAATAATATCCCATCTAACAGCTGAAGAAACAGAGGCACAGCAATGTCCTCAATCGCGTGCCTCGGACTGTGTGTAATGGAGATGTTATACGCTTTGAAG